AGTCCTCAAGTGACCAACATGTAATGTAGCCAACAGAACAGTGGTTTGTTTAAGGCAAGATATCCTGATGGAGCCGAACTCTTCCCAGACTGGTTTTGAATTCATAGTTTTCCTTCCCAAGGAGTGATTGCAAACCAATGCCAGAAAACCCCTGCCATTTAACCCCCCAAGGCTGACAAGAGAAGAGATGGACATGCCTTCCCAAGAGTATTTGCATGAAAGTGATCACAACAGCCTTGGTCAGCATTTGAACTTGTCACACCAAAAACCACTATACTATGTGCAGATCCAAATAAAAATTTGGTATGAATTAGGTACCTCCACTACTTCAGTATACCTACGGTTTAAATTAATTTTCATAATTGAAAATTCTATCTTTCATTTTAGCTTTAATTGAAAGGTAAAGGATTAAATTTCCTAATTCCAGAAAGCAATATAATGTGGTGTATTTCAAATAGAAATTTGGATAATTTTTAGTCGATCAATTTATTTTTTTTTCAGAAAAAAAAAACAATCGAAACAGTCACTTCGACATATTTGTAAACAAAAGTTAATTCTCAGTTTTAAAAATTTAGTTGAAATAAAATATATATATTTGTGAAATGTTATTTTCTGGTGAACCAGAATTGACAAATTTATGAAATATAAGTGAGAATGGTTTGTTTTTGTTCTTTAACTACCAGGTAATTTAAAATTAACAAAATATTTTAAGTAATTAATATTTTTTTTTTTTTTTTTTTTAGTTACTTGTTAGTTTAGCTACTTATGCTTTCTGAAAATATGATAAAATTTAAAGTACTATAAAAATTGTTTAAATTAACAACATTTCATTTATTATCTCCGTTATTAAATTAAAAAAAAAGATATAATTTAACAACAGATACTATAACAAATATATTAATTATTATCACAGTTATTACATTTTTAATTTAATTGAGAATATAATATTAACAATAATATTATTATCTTAGTTATTAACTTTTTAAGTCAATAACTGAGATAATATAATAAAATGCAATGACAGAGATAACTCAATAATTTGAAATTTTATGGAATTTATATTTTTAAGATCTTATTTTTTTTCATTTTATTTGTTATTACAGTTATATCCTGATGTTTATGAAATGTTAAAGTTATTTTATTTATTAAATTTTAAAGTACTTAAATTTTATTATTACTTAGGGAATTGTACACTTATTTTATTTAAGCATAATCCAATACCTCAAACAATATTATATGAACAAAAAAAAATTGCTACCACGCATAATATTTTTTAAATATTTTGTGGCCCTGAAAAGGGATGTTTTTCTCTTCAGTTGCCTCTTCAACCACCCTCAGAAGTGAAATGAAACAACTGCCCAGAGCCAAAAAGGTTTATCCGAGTGGAATTTTCCGTAATGGGGACAACTCTTAAAACACATGATCTTTTAACAATAACATCCTGTATGAAGCAACTTAAAAAAAAAAAAAAAAAAAACACATCTAGACTCACAAATTTTATTTTTTTTAAACTATTTTACAAATTTTTGGCGAGTATTAAGTATTAAGTATTTGTATTAAGTTTTGCAATTTTCACATAATAAATATAGTCTTCACTTATCAACCTAACTTTGACAACATTTGGAAAATTAAAACATTTTTGAAAAAATTCATTATTCATTGAAAATATCTTTTCTTCAGACTATAATGTCCTTAATATATATTATTCATAAAAGCAATTAAAAGCTTATCTAATTAAATGATTAATTATATTGCAGGTTCTTTTATGATTTGGAGCAGGTTTTGGGGAATTTGGTAAAAATTAAAACAAAAAAAAAAAAAATTTCAAAAAAATTATTTACCATCTCCAAGGAGTCCTGCTTTTAACTAATAAAAACATTTGGTTGATGACATTAATTTCTAGAAATTTCAAGAAACTCAGTGGGTTTAACAAATGTAAAATAAAAAAATTTGAGCAAGATTTTCTAAAAATAATTAAAAAAATTCATTCATTTCTGAATAAGTCCTGAAACTTTCATTTAATTATTTGATTTTCGCAAGACTTTCCAAATGTTATTTTACCAGAAACCAGCCATGAAAAATGTCCATTACCAGCTCTGTTACCAGTGAAGCATAAGAAAAGATTTTTAACAAAAATTTCGAAAAAGAAGTAAAACATTTCAGAAAATAATTAAAAAATACTTTGTTCTTTCCTGTTAATAATAAACATTTTGACAATAAAACATTGTTTTCATTTAGTTTGGGACCTTTTTTCATCATGGTATCCTCTTTTTTCAGTGAATTATTGGGGGGGGTGCCTAACGTAAATACAATTTATTTCCAGAAATATTTAAAGTTCGACTCATGTAGACTAAATACAATGCTGCTCTTCAGCTTAAACCCAAACCAAGAAAATTTTATATTCCAAATTCTACAGAGTATAAAATATTCATTAACTTTGTTACTTTTATATACAATACTTTACATGTGTGTGAGATTATATATATATATATATATATAT